ACATAAGAAAAAGAATGTTATTATGATCCCTGAGATAAAGGAATGAAACAGGGGATCTTTACTATTTCATAGATTTCCAAATAGAGAGAGTTTTGAACATGTGATGCAGTATAGGTCACCCAAACATGACTGAGATCATTCATGAATGGCAAGGAGGCACTGGGAAAACTCAGGGGTTAAATTTATGGAGCAGAGTATCAGGTGCATAGGAGTAACCAAATTTATTTTCTTATTTTAAATTTATTTGAAAGATGGTTGTGTCCTTACAGAAAAAAACAATAATGCACTATAATTTACACACTGATAATTATTACAAATTTAGAAATAAATGGTATGGCTAATTAAATAGAATGAGAGAAAGAAATGAAATTTTACTTCAGATCCTTGTAGGAAATCTTAGAGAAGCCATTACAAATATAGAAGGGGCTGAGGCTATAGCTCAGTTGGTAGAGTGCTTGCCTTGCATGCATAAAGGCCCTGGGTTTGATCAGCACTAAAAACAACAACAATAACAACAACAAAAAACAAATATAGAAACATATTTAAAAATCCATTAGTGGAGATAAAATATAAAACTGAAAGTTCCTCACTTTGTACAAAGAATGCAGAAAGTAACACAGATAAAACATAGCAAGTTGATAATTTTAAATTCCAACGTGTCAATAAATACACTAATGGTAATCTGAACACCATGATTAATAGGCAAAAATAATCAGAATATATAAATAATGAGACCTGTTAGTATGTAAATTAAATAACAGAAGTGCACATTTCATGCAATGAAAGAGAGGTTAACAAAAATGACTGGAAAATAGACAAATCTTTCAAATACTTGAAAGAGACTACACTGACTATATAAATATGGCTATATTAGTATCAGACAAAGCAAGTTTGGGGGCTAGGACTGAAGAGGGAAATCTTATAATGCTAAAGTATAAGTTCATTTAGAAGCTAACATTCTTAAAATGTGATCATTTAAACAAAGGAACAAAGACATGAAACAAAATTGTAGGCAGAAAAATAATGCATAAATCCATAATTATAATAGATTTCCAGACCCTTTCTTTGTATTTCAAAGAAAAAAAAGAAAGAAAGAAAGTCATTAATGACTTGTAAAACACTACCAAGTTTACTTTACATTTATGAAATACGAGTACATACAAGATTAAGTGTTGGGCCATAAAATTACTCTATATTTAAAAAATTAAATTCACACAAAGTACATTCTCTGTCCTTAAAGGAATTACATTAGAAGTCAGTGAACAAAAATATATCTGGAAAATTCCCCCAAAATTTGTATATTATACAATGTATTTCCAAATTACCTCAGTAAAAGAACAAAAATATATAAAAAAATGAAAAATTTTATACTCCATAATAAATGGAAACAGTATATCAAAATTGGTAATATTTAGCTGAAGAAGTGTTTCAAAATAAAGTAAAACTTTAAAATATTCATATCAGAAAACCAAAAAATGTCCCAAAAATTAAATAATTATTGGTCTTAAGAAGCAAAATAAAAGTAGATAAAATAGCAAAAAACAATTAATTAGAAACCAAAACCGAAAAAGTCAAATGTTTGTAATTTTAAAATATCATTAAAATTCCTAAATCATTATGAAGATTGAATAAGGTCTAGAGTTGTAGCTTAGTGGTAGAGCGTTTGCTTAGCATGTGGGAGGCACTGCATGTAAATAAATAAATACATAAATAAAAGAATAAGTTGATTAATTAATTAACTAAAATGTCTATCAACAACAAAAAAGTATATTTTAAAAAGACTAATAGTAATAACTGTGTGTGGGGGGAGAGAGAGAGGAGAGAGAGAGAGGCAGTCACAAAGGGGTACAAAAAATAGGCAGAAAAGTACACACAAATTCCTAGTATTTATGAAGAAAAGAAAGATGCTACTGTTATGTTTTGGATCAGGAATGTCTCCCAAAGGCTCATGTGTTGGTCCCTAATGCAGTAATGTTCAGAAGTGAGGTTTTGGGGAAGTGATTAGATCATAAGGCTCTGATCTTCTTGGTAAATTAATAATTTGATGACATTCTAGGGAGGAGGTTGAAATTGTTTTGGCTGATAATAGGCCTTCTACTTTTCCATATACTTTTCAAATTAAGAAAATTCATAGATTAGGAGAAAATGTATTTGAGATATACAGCCTAGTTGTAAGGAATGCTTCCATAGGACATGACTTTGGAGACTATATTCCATCTGTAGCCCCTTCCTCTTTTTCTGCTTTTGGGCCAACATGAGTAACTTTGCTCTGACATGCCCATTTTGCCATGATCAAGTCAGGCCCAAAGCAATGGAGTGGCTGATCTTGGACAGAAACCCCTGAAACCATGAGTCAAAATAAATCTTTCCTTCTCTAAGTTTATTTTCTCAGGTATTTGTCACAATGAAGAAAAGCTAACATAATTACGACATATTCTGCAGACATGACAAAGATCATAAGGAAATACAACCAATCACATGCTAATAAATTCAATAACTTAGATGAATTAGACAAGTTCATTTTTGGGCCCAAACCAAAAATCTACTTACCACAGCCAATACAAGAAAAAATTTTAAAAAATGCTAAATAGATCTACATTCATTGAATTTAAAACAATCAAAATTAAACTTCTAGGAATGGATATCATCAGTGATTTTTAGCAAATATTAATGGAAGAGATAATGAAAAAACTCTCCAAAAATTCCTGAGGAATAAAGAGGAGGAAGAAATACTTCCTACCCATTTTATAAAGCCAGATACTCTGATTCTAAAACTTGACAAAGATCGTAAAAGAAAAAAATGCTATCTATTAATTATAAGTGCAAGATTCTTTACAAAATGTCAGTAAATAACATCCAGAAACATCCATATAGAGGACAATCCTGACCAAGTGGAATTTATCCCAGGAATGCAAAGTTGATTTACTTTTGAAAACCATTCATTAGAATTGACCATGTCAACAACCACCGCCCACCTCCAAACAAAATAAACCAACCCCCCCCCAAAATATGGTCATTTTAATAAACTCAAAAAAGGCATTTCACAACTACTAAAATGAAAAGAGATGTTAGTAAGGCCACAAGATAGAATGGCAATATAAAAATTTACTGTATGTATAATGTAAAACAAAAGGAAATTTCAAAAATCCATTTATCATAGTAAAAAAATCTTTAAGTACACACAAAATATTTTAACAAAACATGTAAGCTCATCCATACATAGAAAACTACAAAATATTCTGAAATAGTATTGAAGATGTCTATAATGAAGAAGTATATCATGTCCTGAACACAAAAAATCATGAGTAAAATGTTTACCCAATTTTGATGGATAGATTCATTGCACTTCAATCACATTTTCAACATGTTGTAGAAATTGACATTAATTTGAAAAGTATATGGAAAGGTAGAAAACCTATTATCAGCCAAAACAATTCTGCAGAAGATAATGGGCAGTATTCACATTACCTGGTTTCAAGAGTTACTATAAGATACAGTAATCAAGACAGTATAATTGCCATATAAACATTATAAACATAAGGAACCCAGGAATGGATCCATGTGTATGTGGTTAACTGGAGGAAAACAAGTCTTTTCAGTGTGCATACATAAACATTAATCCTTGAACCACATGTAATTACCTTAAATTGAATTACAGACCTAAGTATGAACGCTAAAATTATAAGACCTCTAGAAGAAGTATGAGATAATGTCGTCAATATCTAGAAGTAGAACACAATTTCTTAGGAAAAATAAATATGAAAAAATATAAGTTGTACTTCATTAAAATTTAAGACTTTTGTTCATCAAAATACATTAAGAAAATAAATATGAAGTCATGGATTAGGAGAAAATGTGAGATATATGTTTGAGAGTATCTATCTATCTATCTATCTATTTATCTATCTATCTCTAGAATTTAAAAACAACTCTCCCCAAGGAGTAGCAAGAAACAATCCAAGTTTAGAGAGGCAAAGACCTGGCAAAATTACAACACAAAATATGCGAACAGCTAGGAAGCACATATAAAGTTGCTTGAGATCATTAATCATTAAAGAAAATTCAAGGTAAAATCACAAGGATGTTACTGTTTTACATACACTTGAATGCTAAATTTTCAATGGCTGACAACATCAGACGTTGGTGATAATGCAGAGAAACTGACAGTCCTTTTCCTTGCTGCTGGGAGTATTAAATTTTAAAATTTGAAATTGTGGAAACTGTTTAGCAGTTCCTTATAAAGTCAAAACTATAAAGCCCTATTACCCACAAATTCCTCTCCTAGGTGTTTCTCCAAAGGAAATGAAAATATGTGTCCTTGTAAAGGCTTACAGAAAAATGTTCATTCTCCCAAGAGAAAAGCAGATAAACAAAATACAGCTTATTCATAGAACTGAATCCTGCTCAGCAGTAAAACATGTGAATTGCATAATACATACACGGTTGAATCATCAAAAAACTCAAGCTTCGTGAAAGAAACCAGACATAACATATCATATTCTGCATGATCCCATTTATATACACTTCAAGAGCAGACAAATATAATCTATGTTGATAGAGAAGAGTTCCATGCAATGATGGAAGTAGATTTAACACGAATTTCTTTGGGATAGTATATTTGGATTACTAAGTTTCTTTGGCCTGGTTCTGGTTAATTTTTGACATTTTTCTGGCTAAGAAGCATGTAGATTTGAGACACGATGCACTCCTTTCAGTTACTTAATATTTCAGTGACACCAAAATTACAAATGAAGCTAGTGATTAAAAATAATTTTCAAACACCTTTCAGCTTTTAAACTTATAATGATTATAGATTCAAGAGGATGGTGGGCGTCTTAAGAGCACAAGAACTTATATCACTTTTGTAGGAAATCCTACTCAGTCATTTGCCCATATGGTATGTTCATATCATATCCAAGGTTAAGATGTAGATTGAAACCAATCTACCTTGTTGTCAGTTGACTAATGCTGAAGTACTTAGCACCTACATTGATACTCACCGATTATTATTGGCTGTGGTTCACTTTTTACTCCAACCCCGGCGCTGGTACTAGCCGCCACCTCTACCCGGTATTGAATACCTGGGAATAATCCACCAATTATTACAGACCGAATGGCTGCGTCCACAGTTTTGTTGATATGGAATCGTGTTTCATTTCCCAGACACCAGATCTACACAAAGGGAAAGTGAAAACACACAAATATGAGAATCCCATTTGTGGTAACTAAATAACTATAATTGATTAAATATTTTTTAATTGTGACCAATCTATTTTCTGGTCTCACAGAAATGTTTGTGAATGACATTTCCCAAAGTCCAACTCCTGCATTTTATGTATATGTGTGAATTAAAGGAAGAACAATAAAAGAAAATACAACTATCCCACATTCAACTATATATATCATCAAGGAATTCTGAAAAATAATCTGTAACAATGATTCCTTTAACACCTATCTAGAAAATGGTCTTTAGTTGGAAATAGCATTTTGGTACACATAAAAACACATACTTTTTTCCACTTAATTTATCAAAATTTATTGTGCATTTAACTTATTTAAAATATGATGGTTATGAATTATAATGTCTAAGGCATATAGGTGTACATCTAAGTAATTTATATTTCATTTAAGAAAATATTAACTTACACAGAAGTAGTTAGTGAGATTAATTGACCTAAGTTATAGGTATTGACTAAAATGAGATTAAAGCCAATATTTACATTGACACTAATAAATCTTTATATTGATGAATACATATCCACACACACACACACACATAGACACACACGAAAATAAAGTGGTTATAAGACTGTAGACAATGATGTTAAAGCACCTAGGTTTTTACTCCAAGAATAAATCATACTTTAGAGCATATTTTCTTTAGGGATATGAAAAACTGTAATTGAAAAATGCTTGTAAAATAATTCTGCTGAATATCTTTATTTTAATTCATATTATACTTCATAATCTACATATAGATGAACGTGTAGGAATACATAAGGTTTGTTTCTGAAACAGGTAAGTCCCTAAATTTTTTTAGCAAAATAATTCTTGTGCATCCTGTTCCATATTTATATTTGACATCTGTGTCCCTAACAAAAGAATATTTATCCCTCATCTATGTATACAATTTGCTAACAAAATATGACAGATTTATAATGAGTGGAAAATTTTATAATTTATGAAAAACATTCATCATATTGTAAATAAATTTATCAAAATTTAATTGAAAGTAAATTTAGGGTATTCAGACCTAGATGGTACTAAAGCAAATTCCTCACCAAATTAAATCATAGACATGCACACACACATATATACACCATAGTGATTAATTATATAGTGTGAAAACAATGTTCTACTATTTTAAAACTTGAGAATATACAAAATTATGCTATTATGAAGACATTTATTCTTATACTTCTTTAAAATGTTTGCTGATAATGTGATGGTAATCATTTAAAGATAAAACCTTATGCTTTAGTCCATTCATGTGCTTCCAAGTTGACCTTCAATTTAATACAGTTCTATTTAAAATATAGGATATTTTTAGAGATAAAATTCAATCAGCAATCTTTTGAGTGAACTATTTCAACTTTATTTCACATACCAACTATGGATTTCTGAAGTAAAGTGAATTGTTCTTTATTACATTATTTTTATTGCATAAGTTGTTTTCAGAATTCTAGAAATATTTCCTAATAGCAACATAGTTTTGAAATTTTACAAAGTTTAGTGAGAAGTTTTACACTCACCCATGGTTTAATCATATCAATTAGGCAAAATTTTATTTTGAGTCCTTAGACATGGCCTGTGTCTTAAACATTAAGGATGAGGATAAAACAACAGATAAGCTTTCTAAATAGCAACAAGTTTACCAATTAATAAAAGAGACAAAACTTTTTTTAAGTTTTTTTTTTAAATTTGTTGTTTTAATGGTCACCTTCCCCCTGCACCAAGGGAAATATCTTTTAAAATCTTAATAAATAAATAAAAGCAGAATATAGAGTACAAGTTGGTGTTGCCATCTTGTATCCCTACCTTATCCCCTCTAAATCCAAAATCTCTCTCCATTTCTTGAAAACCAGTTTTAAACAGCTGCCCTAAGTCCCTTACACAGAATTTAATAATAATCATGCAGGCAATTTCTGGGATGACGTCTTTACTATCTACATCTATCCCTATCCCTTTAAATCCTTGGTTCCTGAATCATACCATATAGAAAAACATTCCTCTGTTGTAGGTTTTTTGCTCAACTCAGTTGTGTGTCTATAATCTTAAAGTTAAGTTGTGATTCCCGATGCATTTGTTTCCTTACCTGTCATACAAAGGTATAATCACTTCACATTTTAAATGAATAAGATCATATTTAGAGCTGTCTCTTTCTCATATGACACTGAACTTTCTCCAAAAAACTATCCATAAACCCTCCATGCAGGCCCTACCTTGTACTCTTGGATTATTCCATTCTGGTGATCTGGAGGAGGAGGATCCCAGGAAACACTAATGCTTGTGCTATTGTGGCTTCCGACTGTCAGCACAGTGACAGATTGTGGAGGGGCACTTGGGGCTGCAGAGGGAGTAATTAGAATAAAGGCAGACTTTTGAGTCTCAGTGTACATTAGTACTACTTACAAAATATGAATAGAAAGGCAAGACCAATGACATTCTGGCTTCCAGTAGTTCTAAATCTGTATATAGCATTTAACAGTAACAATTTTTTTTTTTGAGAATTAAGTCATTAAACTCAATGAAAAAAATTAAAGCAAATACAACAGGTGGGGAAACATGCACTAAATAATAAATTTAACAGCTAACATGCTAATGAGTGGTTTTTATATGCCCAGCACCAAAATGTCAATTTTCATTATCACCATAACCTCAGTGGGTAGAAATAACTCTTAATTTCACAGAAAAGGAAATGATCTACTGTAAGAAATTTATCCCAGTCAAATGAAGCCAGGCATGGTGGCACACGCCAGTAATCGCAGCAGCTTGGGAGTCTGAGGCAGGGGGATCAAAAGTTCAAAGCTAGGCCCAGCAAAAGCCAGGCACTAAGCAACTCAGTGAGATCCAGTTTCTAAGTAAAATACAAAGCAAGGCTGGGGATATGACTTAGTGGTTGAGTGTCCTGAGTTAAATTCCTGGAACTCCCTCACCAAAAAAAAAAAAAAAAAAAAAAAGAAGAAGAAAAAAAAGTTAAATGGTAAGTCAGGATTTGAACCAGGTACATCTGTTTTTAGAATTTGATCATTTCAATTCTAATAGACCATGTTTCTGAAAAATAAAACCATAGCTTCCAACTGAAATTATTTTGAGAGTATATATCTCAAAATTTTATCAGGTGTTATTTCTGAATAGTGGCATTATTGACAGTCTTTTTAAAAATATTGTTTTCAACTGTGTTTAGTAAATAAAAACAGAAACACAGATATAAATTTCACCAACAAAGAAAAACAATCCTTTCACACTGGGAACAATAATTGACTCTCATAAACTGACCCGTAATTTAAGATTTAAAACTGATTTTATATGGATGGTCAGGGGACTATGATGATAAATATGAAAACAGGTTCATGTTGGGTCAAATGTGAAATAGTCAGATTTTGATTTCCAACAATAATTCTCTTCCTTTATAGTTTCTCCTATAACTAATTACCACTGTGCTGAGAAATGGGAAGCGAGAAGGTTTTCCTGAATTTAGACTAAGCATATTCCATACAGTGCATCTGAGAGTTAAGAAATATTAATTTTGCAAAAAAAAACTCATTTATTTTCAGTGAATCTCTGAATTTAAACCAAATGTAGAGAAAGCATAATAAGGATTCTACATAAAAATTCCTTGATAATTAGAAAACAAATAATTTTATGACATTAAAGGATTTTTAATATAAAATCATCAATGCTTTTATATTCTGCAATTTAGTCCCTTAAAAATCGTATCTAAAAGATATTTTAAAGACCCATTGATAAGGTTTTTCCCATGTTTGGCAAACTTGTCAGGACATAAATTTCATTGAGGAATGATCATATTTACATTGAGATATAGGATGTACACAGACATGTGATAATACAATATTGCTCTTTTCCTATTCCTCTATGTGACAATATTGCTGTAAAATGGGGTATGATGACATCAATCTGACCACTTTTCTACCAGCCTTGTAGTTATTAAGTAGACTGCACTGAAAAATAACACTTTTGAAAGTGGCTTTTCATTCTCCTTGCTGCTGGCTTGGCGAGAACACCAGGCCTGCTTCCTGACAGGTCAATTATTCTGGTACTCAGCTTCTTTGTACAGATGTGAAAGAACCCAAATCGCTGCTCATCATTCCCAGACATAGCCCATCTGAGTTCCATTTGTTACCTTCACAAGGCCACAGAAATCAGAGATGAATGTACATGGAATGGTGACAAATGTCTAGGCCAGAGGAAAAGGCTAACTGCAGTGAAACTGACTTTTGGAGGGAGGATTCCAACGTGATCTTCTGTATTGGAGTTATCCACCCTGCTCATTAGTACTACGCTTGCAAGATATGGTAAAATTTAATGCTGGAGAAAATATCACCAATTTTTATCAATCTTGTATTTTCTTTTCATATCCTAAAAGTGAACCAATCGTGCCTTTAAAAATAAGGGTTTCTGTCCATGCCTGTGGATCACACTGTAAACTAATGTGAACATTTTATTTTTGCAGTGTATTATATTATATAAAATTTATATTTTATAAAATTTCTTTGGTTAGACATACCTGTCAGTATATGCAAACGATATACATTTTCTTAAAGCCTTTTTTAAAATATCTTTTTGTATGAAGTACATTTAGACAAAAGGTTTTTATTAGGATTGGTGCACATAAAATTAATATAAAAATAAAAGGGGAGATTTGTTTTGTCATCCCACATTTTTATTTTAATAGCAATATTCATTATAAGTCTCTGGCTTACTGAAGGAGACTTTATAAATGGACTAGTTGAAACCTATATCAATCTTAGGTCCATCATAGAATGACTTTAAAGTATCTGTAGGTAAAAATTTTTCAAAACTAGAGAGAAGGCAAGAACTTTCCTAAGAAGAAACGTATTACAAACATGAAAGTGACCTTCCAAATCAGAACTTATGTTTCAGACTGGCAATGCCCACAGTAGAAAATGGCTGAGAAAAGAAAATATCCCATTCTACTACATTAAAAAAGGAGTAGTCACTGTGAATAACCTGTGATCTTGTATTTTCTATAGCCTGTCCCTAATGAACTGCACCCACATAAATATATGGAAATATGTTACAATCAAATTCAATGTCACAGAAACATATAAAACTTGGGGCAAATGTTTAAGAAGAATTTAAATTCAGAATCTATTTAAATTTTTATATCATTTTTGGTCAGATTCTGTACAATTCTTCTAATACAAAGAGAAAAATGACAGTGCCTGCTATATATTTTTCTATTTTTTAATAACTTTTTAGTTGTCAATGGACCTTTATTTTATTTATTTATATGTGGTGCTGAGGATTGAACCCAGTGCCTCACACATGCTAGGCAAGTGCTCTACCACTGAGCTACAACCCCAGCCTATATATCTTTAAATGTTCTCTGTCTAGTTTTCTAAGGAATATACTAAACTAGAACTGTAATAGAAATTGGTTTATTCATAGAATAAGTTTGGTTTACATTACAAATTGGGATACTCACCTTCTTCAGTAGTACGGACTGTTTTAGATTCACTATCCATTCCTTGGAACTCATTAAAATACGGTCGGACTTTAATTTCATAAGTGACTCCTTTTTTCAGATTGACTAAGACAGCACTTCGTTCAGTTGGGACTTTGGCATCTAAATTCTGCCATGAGGAGGTGGCTTGTAGGCCTGAAGTCTGACGATACATTACTCGGTAGCCTTGAATAAACTGAGGCTGGCGGTCAACCTGGAAAACACATCAAAGACCCTCTGAACCTGAAGGGAGGTGTGCCAGATTCACAAGAGACCTATCCTCTCTTCTCTGTCCCAGTTCAATCCACACACTTATCATCTCAGTTGAGACCAGGGCTTTCTAACTCATCTCCCCGCTTCCAATAACCTCTTCCAATCCCACATTCACATTGCCCCCAGCATTATCTCCAAAATGAAGAGTAGGACAACTCTCTTGCATTCAACACCCATATTTATGGTTTTATATGTGATGTGGTATTTTTCAGGGATTTCCATTCTCATCACTTGTCTGCTCCTTAGACATTTTTGAGTTCTTACTAGTAGCTGCCAGGAATTCTGCTAAGCTCTGGGGATAAAATGGAAAAAGTTGGTAGAGCCAACTCTTGGCCTCCTGGTACTTTGAGTCCAGGTGGAAGGAAGGCATTATCGTGCCTACTATGGCCAAGTTCAGTTACAGCATATATCAGAAATAAATGTAATGAATGACAGGCACCAGGAAATAAGAGCAGAAGAAGCTCAATGAGTTGGGAAGGGGAGGTAGTTTCCAGGACAAAAGTCAGACGATTTGCCATCTGCAATAAGAATACAGTTTACCAGAGGAAAGGAAAGTGGGGACAAATGTGTAACCACCCTGTGGCTAGAGAGAGCATATAAAAGAGATTTCAGTTGTGAAACAAGTACTAATGTTTTAAATGCATATGAAAGCTTATACCCATTACCAAATATTCCATGAAAAAGTTTTTGTTAATTCAGTAGCTTCTTATTCTTTCAGTGGGCCTGCTCTGTACACAACTGAACTCTCTTATGTTTTCATTTACTTAAGGGACAATAGCTATTTTTAATAATGATCTGAGATTTTTAATTTAAAATTTAAATCAAATAGAACTTTTTATAGGTATTTTTATATGTATTTTGGTTCAGTCTCATGATAATTACATGAAAATCAAACAATATAAGTGCAAGTAGAAAAATAAACATGCTCCTTTTATACATTTATTAAACACTCTTCACAGGTATCTCAGAGTTTCTTCATTTGTAGGGAAAGGAATTTTAGGTTTTTTTCTTTATTTTTAAAGAGTTTTTATCCCTGTCCTATTTCTTAAGATGCTGTATTGAAGCATAAATGGCGATGGTAACTTCTCCAATTAATATCTCATATTATAGTTTAATATTCATATACTAAGAAGCTTTAAGCTTGATATATTTTACTGTCAAATCAAAAGTAAAGATTAATGGAGAGAAATAAAATCACCTCATTTCAGAATGGTTGTAAGAAAAAAGAAAGAGAGAGGTGATGATGGAAATGGTTATGTTAACTCTTAAAAAAATTATTTATTCAATTGTCAGCTTGTTATGAACAAAAAATGTTTTTTCATGAATTAACTTCTAACACCTCTTATTTAGATTCAGCATTGTTTTGTTTGTTAAGGGAAGTCAGCAAATCAATGAATATTAAGCTATTAGTTTTCAAATAATAAAAACGCAGAACTTCAATCAAAACAATGGAACAATTTTTTTTTCCATGTTCAGAATGTCCAAGCTAGAAATCTCTATGAAGTTGATGGGTCTGAGTGTGTGTGTATCTATATACAGCTAACTCCAGCCTTTCAGATGAGTCTCAACAAATATAAATTTCTTCACCCATTTGACAACTTTCTAACCCTCAAAGATTTTTCTGGAATTACTGCTACACTTGTATAAGATTATATCAAGAATGACTTACGATATTTGCCTGTCAGTAAATGGATGGATCTGTAGACTATCACGCTAAGTAAAAGACACCAGTTCCAGATACCAAAGGTGGAATGTTTTCACTGATATGTGGAAGCTAAACCACAATCAGGGGGATGGGGGATAGAAGTTCAGTGGAGTAGACAATGGGGATTGAAGTGAAGGGAGGAAGGATGGGAAAAGGAGAGAGTGGAATGAATCTGACATAACTTTCCTATGGACATACATGAATATACCACAGTGAATCTCACCATATAGTAAGTACATCCTCTGGAATATAATATATTCTACGTTTTAGTATTATATAAAAATGAATTCTACTGTCATGTATAACTAAAAGAAACCAATGAAAATAAATAAATAATTCGTTAAAATGACATTTTAATAAATGTGTAAAATCCCACTTAAGCAAAAAGAAAGAAAGAAAGAAAGAAAGAAAGAAAGAGGGAGGAAAAGGGGGAGCCCAGGTCTAACATAGAAGCTCGTGGTCTCTGAGTCCTCATCCATGTTACCAGTTTGTGTTCATAATGACTGACATATTTTTTTGAAAAGCAGGAGTCATTCTGACATCATAAAATAAGGCAACAAAGAAGCAAAATGTTAAATTTATAAGAGTCAAAGAGTGATGCTTTTCATCAAAACTGTCAAAGTTAAAAAAAAAAAGAAAAAAAACTTGCAGCATATGTTAAAACAACAACATCAAGCTTACATTTTATAAACTTCTCTGTGATGGCTTTAAGTGAATTTATATACTGAAAGAAAGACATAACTCACAATAATAGCTTGTTAATACTGAAAGAAGCAAGCTGTGTTTTTAAGAAGAACATTAAGCAGCTGTTTCCAGATGAAGGGAGTCTGTAAATCAGGGTAAATTGGTTTTATCCATGTTTGGTTTTCATTAATTAAGTGTTTTAGGGACTTTATGAAGCTAACGTTTACTACCCCACATCGCCTTGCTCACTTCAGTGGGCACTGTCTCCAACCCCTAGATAGTAATGGCCTACTTAATAGCCACGTGGTTTAACTTCAGTTTGTGCAGTTGCCAGGCATTTGGGGGTAGAGGAAATTTGTTGTTACAGGTGGAAGCAAAAATGAAAATGCTGAGCATTACCATTTAAACAAATAGGCTGGCTTTTATTGGATGTGTGTTCTACACCACTAACGTGTGGTGCTCATTTTGACAGGTAATCATTTTCAAGTTAAACCATACGCTTGTCACTAGTTTTATTAACATTCTGAGGAGAAGAAAAATGTGCTCTTAGAGTTGATTGCAATCAGAGTCTGGCCACAAATTTATAGGTTTATATGAGTTAAAAAAAATACCACTGTATTTTGAAACATGTATTAAAAAGAATTGTATTAAGGAAGAAGTGAAATGATAAGGAAAACTTCAGATTTCCAGTATAAGACCTTGATTTCAAATAGAGTTTAGTCTCTTAAGTTTTCTGAGCCTTCCTATACTTATTTTGTTCAGATAATACCCTCAGCTCAAGGGTGCAAAAATAATCAGATGTCTAATTTTAGTAAAAACACTGTAAACTGTAGAGATGTGTAATGTTAAGGAGCTTTGTTAAAGAATCAATGTACTAAAAAGAAGTGGAATATATGGACTTTCAAATCAGTGTTGTTACTGAACCATTCAAGATGTTTAATAGCTACTTTTTCAATGAAACAAAAACAAAAACAAAAACATCCATTTAAATATACAATTCGAAGTGAGTTTTCTTTGATGGGCTTATCTGCTAAGGAACTGATCTGGTTCTAGTTGAGTTCAAAACAATATTATTTTCTATGTCAGTGTTGAGTGTTTTCGGAGTCAAATGGTCTGTGATCCTTTTGGCCTTGAACAGCAACAATAACAATCAAGCACAGGAATAATCATTGTTCAGTGAGTGACTATTTTTCTTTGTGGAACAGGTATTTTCTAATTGTCTTGCCTATCTTCATTAAAACAGTAGTAATTTGATCTTCTGAAATTAGCCATTGCTAACTATTGTTGCTGTAACTTCAGCCATGGGTGGGGCATGGGGATAATTTTTCAGTACAATGTCTTGTCTTTTCCATAGCTGAATCCTGTGGACCTTTGGTAAATCACCTCAGCTGCCCACAGATCAAATCACTTGGCTGGAGAATATATTCCTCCCCTTAAACTCCAACACATCTGTCATCCAAATGATAACAGTGTAACTATTTAAATAACCTACACATTTAGCAAGTTAAAATATTACAAAATTACAATTTCTTTGGCTATTGGTCCCACCCCCAATCAGACTTTTTTCGCTAAAACTTATCTCTCTCAAATACATTTTTTTCTTTCTTTCTTCTTCTTTTTTTTTTTTTTTGTGGTGGTTGGTGGGTGGGGGTGAGGGTTTGCCAAGGATTGAACTCAGGGGCACTTGACCGCTGAGCCACATCCCCTGCCCTATTTTGTATTTTATTTAGAGACAGGGTCTCACTTAGTTGCTTAGGGTCTCACTTTTACAGAGGCTGGTTTTGAAGTTGTGACCCTCCTGCCTCAGCCTCTCAGGCATGCACCACCATGCCTGGCTTCAAATACATTCTTACCATATATGTAACTACAAACTGAAGGGGAACAATACCCTGAGATATTATTGAATATGTTACATTTCAAAAGAAAAATAAAGACCTATGAAAGCAACTGCTTCAATTGCTTAATAGGCAGTTATTAAAAGAATATTTTGAAAAACAGACGTGAAAGAAAAGGATTCTATACTCACAGAAATCCCTGCCCAAGAAAGAGATAGATAAGCAAACTGGCAATGTCAGCCTTCATGGGCTACAGAGATAAATATGACATGGTCCTTTCCTGGAAGAACTCCAAATATACAGACATGCAATTTTAATCTAATTTGATGTACTCTTTTAAACTTAGTGAATCTTAAAGCAATTAACTTCATAAACATGATGACTTTGATTCTTCCCCAAATATTTTCTTCACTTAGAAGTAGCTTAAAGAAGCTCCCTCATTTTGTTGCATGTGGATTTCCAGTTTTCCAAGCACCATTTGTTGAAGAGGCTATCTTTTCTCCAATGCGTGTTTTTGGCAACTTTGTCTAATATAAGATAATTGTAATTTTGTGGGTCAGTCTCTGTGTCCTCTATCCTGTACATGCACAAAACTCAACTCAAAGTGAATCAGGGACCTAGGAATTAAACCAGAGACTCTGCGTCTAATAGAAGAAAAAGTAAGCCCTGATCTCCATCATGTGGGATTAGGCTCCAACTGCCTTAACAAGGCTCCTATAGTGCAAGAATTAAAACCAAGAATCAATAAATGGGATGGAATCAAACTAAAAAGTTTCCTCTCAGCAAAAGAAACAATCTGTGAAGTGAACAGAGAGCCTACATCCTGGGAGCAAATTTTGACCCCTCACATATCAGATAGAGCACTAATCTCTAGGGTATATAAAGAACTCAAAAAGGTAAGCACCCCCCCCCCCAAAAAAAAAAAATAACCCAATCAACAAATGGGCCAAAGACATGAACAGACACTTCTCAGAAGAGGATATACAATCAATCAACAAATATATTAAAAAAAAAAAGTTCATTATCTCTCGCAATTAGAGAAATGCAAATTCAAAACTATTCTAAGGTATCATCTCACTCCAGTCAGAATGGCAGCTCTTATAAAGACAAACAACAATAACTGTTGGTGAGGATGTGGGGAAAAAGGTACACTCATACATTGCTGGTGGGACTGCAAATTGGTGCAGCCAATATGGAAAGCAGTATGGAGATTCCTTAGAAATCTGGGAATGGAACCACCATTTGACCCAGCTATCCCTCTCCTGGGTCTATACCCAAAAGACTTAAAAACAGCATACTACAGAGACACAGCCACATCAATGTTTATAGCAGCACAATTCACAATAACTAAACTGTAGAGCCAAGCTAGATGTCCTTTAGTGGATGAATGGATAAAAAAAAAATGTGGCATATATACACAATGGAATTTTACTCGGCAATAAAAGAATCATGAATCATGTTGAATCATGGCATTTTCAGGTAAATGGATGGTGTTGGAGAAGATAATGCTAAGTGAAGTTAGCGGATCCCCTCCCATGCCCCTCAGCCCTACCCCACTATGAGTCAGCATCCTTATATCAGAGAAAACTTTTGGCATTTGTTTTGGCAAATGTTTAACAAATGCCAAAAGTTTTCTCTGATAAAAGGATGCTGACTCATAGTGGGGTAGGGTTGAGGGGCATGGGAGGAATAGATGAATTCTAGATAGGGCAGAGGGGTGGGAGGGAAAGGGAGGTGGTAAGGGATTAGCAAGGATGGTGGAATGTGATAGACATCATTATCCAAAGTACATGTATGGAGACACGAATTGATGTGAACATACTTTAGATACAAACAGAGATATGAAAAATTATGCTGTATACATGTAGTAAGAATTGTAGTGCATTCTGCTTTCATTTATTTTAAAAAATCAATAAAAAAGAAGCCCCCTCAAAATTTACAGAGGACATGTTTTCCATTAAGAATGGTGGAAAATCTGCTATGAAAAACACATTGTTTCCTGGCTTGGGTGGATTTGTATCCAGTCAAAGCTACTGAAAGATAGAATCATGGCAGTCTGTACCACTGGAATTATTGGAGAATTACATTACTTTCATGGGATTGGAAGAATAGAAACTGTTATGTACAGAACATAAAATAGGGCAATACAAAATTATAACAAAATAGAATTAGGAGTACTACAATACTAAACAGTCACTATAAACTTAGTCATATTTTTATTAAAATATTATCCATTTTGTACAAATAAATTAGAAAATTTGAACAATAATGAGGTTTCATTTAAGAAGTAACAAAATGTGTCACCCAGAATCATATATCAAAATTTCATTATTAAAAGTTATTCCTTTCAATTAAATATTTATATATAGCTTCTCTTTAAAGTAAAAAAGAAATAAGAATGCATATGTCAAGTCTGGTAATTTGGGGCTGGAGTGTAGGTCAGTAGTAGAGCGCTTATATAGCATGCTCAGGGTCCTGGGTTCAATCTCCAAAGTTACACACATAAAAAAAGTTAAAAATTCAGGGACTTCCAGTCTTTACCTATAAATAAACAGGGGAGATTAGGGATACTATTCAACCTGTCTGCATTGTTTTTCTTTTATCGAGTATATAACTGGACTAAACATTTTATTTATTTTTATTCTAATTTGCTATATATGACAATAGAATGCATTACAGTTGATATTACACATATAGAGCATAGTTTTTCATATCTCTGGTTGTATACAGAGTATATTCACACCATTCTTGTCTTCATACCTGCACCTAGGGTAATGATGTCTACCTCATTCCACCATCTTTTGTATCCCCATGCCCCCTCCCTTCTCTGCCACCCCTTTGCCCTATCTGGAGTTCCTCTAATCCTCCCATGGATACTAAAGGGACACAGCCACATTGATTTTTATAGCAGCACAATTCACAATAGCTAAACTTGGAATCCTAGATGGCCCTCAATAGGTGAATGGATAAAGAAAATGTCATACACACACACACACACACACACACACACACACACACACACTGGAATATTACTCAGCAATAAAAGGGGATAAAATCATAGCATTTGCAGGTAAATGGATGGAGTTGGAGAATATAATGCTAAGTGAAGTTACCCAATCCCCAAAAAACAAATGCTGAATGTTTTCTCTGATATAAGGAGGCTGATTCATAGTGGGGTTGGGAGGAGGGGAGCATGGACTAAACATTCTTAACTGTTATTTTCATTTTTTCCTTTTGTTACACAATAATGTCTCCATATTTCTCAATATGGATGGGAAAGAATAATAGTGTCTTTTTTGGTGCCTATGATGGAATTAATCACTTCCTTTTCATTTAAATGTGTGCATAAATACTGTTATTGCAACCATTCATGTGTATCAGCAACTAGAATCACACCTTATGTGGTGCTATTCTCCATCTAGAACATAATTCATTCACAAAAAAATGCTTGTTGAACTGGATTTGTTCAATGGAATTATCATGAGGAAGACATCAGTATGTTTCTCTTTATTGTGTTTTATATTCCAAACATAACTACTCACAAACTGACCAAAAATAACTAGTTTTGCATTCTCCTCTCTTAAGGGAGTTGGTAGGAATAGTGATAGAGTTCTTTCTCTGAAGTAACTTAGATTCTAAGAGCAGTAAACACATTATTTTAACTTTTTGTTTTCCTTCTACTTACATAATATCAAACAACAACAATAGAAACACAAGTACTGTCTAAATAAACAATATTGTAATTAAAGTGAAAACTCTTAACCATGCCCTCAAATGTTCACTACTTTAATAAATTCTGTCACATCCTCAGAGTGTTCCAAGTAGACGTACTCTTCTGTCATTCCAATATGTATATTTTAATGGATTTTTCGGATTTATACTGGAGAGGGATTTGGACATAAATGAGAAGTTGGTGCTAACTATAGTGGGCACAGAGAATAGGATCTGGCTCCTTTAAAAACACAGTCGCACACATACAATAGGCACACACAGTAGCAGTATTCTCAAATACAATTGATATTTCTATTTTCATCCTATTTGTTGATTTCACTACAAGCAGTTGCCATCTGATAAAAACATTTGCCATTTGAAATAAGTGTGTATTCTGACACATGTAATAATGCATGACACTTGAGCTTTCTTAACATTCATTAAAATATCAAATTATTACCTAAAGCTCACTAATTTTTTGACCACACATGCCAAATGATTAAAATTGTGTAAATGTTTTGTGCTGTTGTATCACATTCACCTAAAAGAATATAAAGATGGCTTATTTAAATTCAGAAGATAACTTCATCAAAATTAAAATCTTTTGTGCTTCAAATAACACTGTAAAGAATGTAAAAAAACAACCCACAGGCTGGAAATATTTGCAAGTCATATATCAGATAAGTGACACATCTGGAATAAGTCTTTAAGAAGAAGACAAACAATTCAACTAGAAAATTCCAAAAATTTGAATAGATATTTCTCTAAATAGGTATACAAATGCCTAACAAGCACATGAAAAGAAGAACATCATTAGTCTAGAAAGAAATGAAGTCAAAATCACAGTGATAAACTACTATACACCCACTAGAATAGCCATAACCAAAAAGAGAAAGAATAATAAGTGTTAACAAGGATGGAAGAAAAGTTGGAATGAATTTGGAGGAAATTGGAATGTTAAAACATTGCTGTTTCGAATACACAATGATATCATCACTTTGAAGGTATTTTGCTACTTCATCAAAAAGTTAAGTGGGGGAGTTTCCATATTATTCAACAATTCTTAGATGTTCACCAAGAGCAATTAAATGTATGTCCACACCAAGATTTGCACACAAGGTGCCATTATTTATAATAGCCAAAATTCCAAACAACCCCTCAGTAGGTAAATGGATAAAGAAAATATGATATACAATGTAGTGCTATTTGGAATCACTATCCTGGTAAAGAAGGGAATGAAATCCCACAATAGAATAGTACGTTTTAAGGAACAAAGTACTGACACATACTTCACAATGGATGAACACTAAATACATTATAGTGAATTAAAGAAGCCACATAAAAAAGACATTATTATATGAATCCATACCCAAGAAAGGTCTAGAATAGAGAGCAAATTACTAGTTGCACAGGGCTAGGATATATAGTACAGAGAATGCCTATAGTGGGCACAGGGTTTCATTTCAAAATGTATTCTAAAGTTAGATTTTGGTGATAATTTCAAACCTCTATAAATATAATAAAAATATTTATTACACTTGTACACTTTGACATGTTACTTATACTTAATAAAAGTGTTAAAAATTTAGAAGATCGAAAAGGTCATGTTTATAATTTTTATTCTACTACTCCACTTACACATTTATCTATTGAGTATTTTCATGGGTTATACCTGGATTTTAAATGGTGAGCATTTTAATTATTTGTTTTGAGTTTGGTTATCTGCATTTTCCTGTTATTTCTGGTTTCCTTAAAGTATTACAAAATATTTCATATAGTCTTTGTCACTATACATAAAGCTGTCCATAAAGCCTCATATAGTTTTTAACAACTTACTGTCCATGTGACCTGAACAGTAGTGGGAGTCAGTACAACAGGAGTGTGAAGGCGAACAAGGACATCTCCTAGTTCCTTCTGTACTTGTCTGTGGTCCACTCCTTGTGCTGGTGGGCTGATATCTGCAGTTAGATGAAATGAAAATTCCTGATTTTTAGAAATTCATAATAAAATTCCAATTCACCTTATACAAGTCAAATTATCCTTCTAGAACTAATTATAGGGGAAAAATTACAAACCTTTCATGACAAAGAGTATTTAAGCATGTGTGTGTGTGTGTGTGTGTGTGTGTACTTCACAATGGTAGGACATAAGTTGAAGGATATTAATCTTCGTTACAATGGTTTAATGAAAGAGCATTTAAAGTCCCTCATCTCCATTCAAACGCAGACACAGTATTGTGGAAGATCACTAGAATGATCCTTTAGAAAGAATGAAGTACATACTCTGAGACTTTTCTAGAAGGATTGGCTTTATGTAGATTTTAGAGCATTGAAGGATTTTCCCAGTGGTCAATTGAGACATATCTGAACACGGAAGGTTAGAAATTTGTTGAATCCCTTGTTTCAGGTTGTGTTTTTCTACCCCTTGAACTATTTCAGTCTGGGAGTATGGAAAGAAAAAATTGGGAGACTGGAACAATGAACTATGTCATTAAAGGTAAATAGAGTAGGAGAGAGAGGGGACAGAGCTCCTCAAATTCACAGTAACTGAAAAATTTAGAATACTGACAAAATATTCCAAAATAATAAATTTTGGCTAGAACTCCAATATCTGAATAGAGGAAATGCAGCTGCTTTCGGTGGTTAAGAAAAGAGGGAAAGAAAGAATGGTGATGTTTTGAATAAGACATGCTCAACTGTACATTGTATTGTCTCCTTATTCACCATTCACCTATTTACTTCCCTGTACAATGGTATATATTCTGTGTCTATTAAGACAAAATCGTAAGACATTTAATTGATATCAAACACTGAATTTCACACTCTTCAAGTTGTCTTTGACTGGTACACTTCAAAGTTAAGTTGAATTAAAACTACTTTATTTAAGGAAGGAGGTCCAATTTAAAATGATTTATTTTCTTCATCTTTTTTTCTCCTGTTTTCTCAGGCCACCATGCCACATTCTTGCAGAAATGTCTTTAAAGTGCATATCTTAGCTATAATTTAAATTGAGTAGACTAACTTAAATTGCAACATAAATACTTGGAAACTATACTTGGGTGATTTTTTCCCCCTCATTTTCCTTCTTTGTTTCATCCTTAACAAAACTGCAAAGTACAATCTTATTGAAATTAGGGAGGGGGGAGTCCCTTTATATGAACAATGTTAATCTTTGCCTACATAAGTACACTCAATTGTGATGTTGATGGTGTAAGCATTTAGTAGTCTTAATGAAATAAACAATTTCTGTGTTCTCTGATATTTAAAATCTTTGTAAAATAAGAGCTCTTTGAAAGTTAGTGGTTGCAAAATGCAAAACTACTGAAAGTGAGGTATCAAAAATGATCCTGACATTCAGACAAACAACATGAGTTTTCCTATTAAATATATGTTAAAAGAACATAAGTCTTTTGCTCTAGATAGTCTCTCAACTGAAACAGGTCAGATCACAAACAACTTTTCATTAATCTTTCTTGACCTTTTCACCGAGAGTTATTTTATGAGTCAAGATTTAGTGACTGGCATAGTTATTGAATGATCAGGACAATCTGCCAGACTCAATCACACGCAAGATGTCCACATTCTATTATCTCCTTACCTCACACTGCAGTTGTACACACACACAAAAAAACACTATTGCAACCCACACAGGTGTAAATGATCTAGGTACTAGGATTTCCTGAATTAAAATTATACATCTTTTCAATTTTGCATCCAATAATTTAATTTACTCATTAAATTTAGATACCCTATAAAGCAATTGGATCTAGGGAAGGTAAAATATAACTAGTTTCAGGTCTTCAGATTCTTTGTTGTGCTTTTTCTTTTTCCTGAGACAGGTTTTTTACCTACAGGCCTTTTATCATCAAGGAAAATTAATCACATTACTGCTTAGAGAACAATAGCAGAGTGGCATTCCCTCCTCTCTTGACTGTCATCATGTCAGCAACGTTAGTCACGTGGTGACTTTATCTCACTTGATTCCTTTAAGGCACCTTCTCTGTTATAATGGCATGCTAGTTACTATCACTGAACTACATGGTAATTATAATAATATTTTATGGCTGTATAGTGCTTTTCATAGCACAAAATACTACTTTGAATTATATCTTGTTCAAAGCCTTTTACAAATAAGAAATAATTAACCCTTTCTCATAACTCTGTGGGGAGCAGTTTGCAGCAAATAATAAAGGCACTACTTCTATTGTATAATTCCCTTTACCTACTAGTAGAAAAGGAAACTATAATCTAGCATCCTGCATTCCATCTGAGATTCCAGTGACTTTTTAGTTGGAAGAGACAGGTTACTAAAGATGAGATGAGGACATCTCCATTTTGAAATCACATTTTGATATTCTAGGAGTTTTTATACTAGTCAAAAGAATGACAAGCCTCAGGAAGAAAACTTGATTTACTGTTTTCTATACTAAATTACTTTTTGAAACATTGGATTGAATAAAATACATCATAACTGTGGTCATTAAACTTTAGCACCAGCATCCCCAGGAGGGTATATTAAGATAGACACTGGCTGACCCCAGTGTTTTTGACTTGGAGCCTGAAAACCTGTGTTTCTAACTATCTCAGAGGATCCAGATGCTGCATTCTCAGGACAGTCACTGTACTATAAAAATAGAATTTCTGAAGTAATTTGGATACCCTATCTGAGCATCTATCCATTAAAATATCACTTTTTTTGCTAGTATATAATTTCTTCCAAAGAAGGAGAATTTTTAAAAATTTTTATTTATTTTATTTTATCTTTTTTTCCCTCTTGTAAATATACTAAAGTCCTAGCTTAGTGGATTTACTTTTAACATGTAAATGTACCTGATTTAATTTTTCACTGCAAAGATCCTAACAGCTCCAGAGAAAGGAAAGGAAACATTTTAGCAAGGTGAACTGCTGATTTCTTTCTGCTTCACTAGATAAAGTCCAGTGAATCATTTTACAAAGCAGTGTACATACATGTACTTTTCCTCATGCAATCTCTTTGTTCTCAAATGTCCGTCTGATGCTTCTGGCTAGAACCAGTCATGTTTACAGCTATTGAAATTACCTTGTGTGCGCACAGGGTCTGACATAGGGCTTGGGTCACTGAGACCTTGGGGGTTGATCGCTCTGACCATGAACAAGTAGATTGTATTGGGTCGCAATCCTCTCACAGTATAAAGGGTGGTCTTTACATGGTTTGCCACTGTCTGCCAGCTATTGCTCACTGATTGGCTGAAATGCGAACAGAAATTTCAATTAAAGAACAGTCATACAGTTATTGGAAATGGAGTTGGGTAGCAATGACAAAGGTTAATGGCTGAAAATTAAACACACACACACAACACTTGAAGTGTTCAGCCCAATAAATGAAACATTTGGATGAATTCAGTTTATTCAACAACAAAGCCGAGCCCACCTAACGGAAGTGCCATGCACAACAAAATTAAACTCAGCCCAGGAGATGTGACAGCCCTTTGCTAATGCATAGCAGCCCACTAAATGAATACCTGTAAAAGGAACAGAGGCCAAGATCACAACATCAAATTTATACAATAAGTATGGTCCTCATAAATGCATATATATACCTTGAAAAGAATTAACCTGCAGAAAGAATAAATGGACTACAGAGTAAATTATGCCAATATATTTTCCTGTTACAAGGTGTGTTTTCTTTTGCATCAATTCCACATGCAATATTATAATAGAGCCTTCTAAAACTACATATCTGTAAAAGAAGAAAGGAAGCATGTAATGAATATTTTCCCTTGGTTACATTTTTTTAAAAAAATTGTACATTACACAGAATTGTGATTTGGCATCTCAGACTGGTGAAAATATCTCTGAATATGTGTATGTGTGTGTGTGCGTGTGTGTGTAGACAGACCTTTTAGAGCCAGATGGATGGATGACATTTTAAAATACTTTGTCTATAGTCAAATGCTACTTTTGCTCACAATGAAGAAAAAATGGTATTAGGGAGGTTTCATTTTAGATGTCTTTAAGCATCAAACTATCAAACTGCAGAAAAATAGTATTTTGAAATTTTGAAACTATGTACCTTTCATTATCTTAAATATGGATTCAAAAAGCTTAAAATGAAAGTGATCATTTGTCCTAATACTGACAAAGGACAAAGGCTATCCTTCAAAATGTATGATGTCATGATGTGAAATTGAACATGAAAGTAAATTAAGTATATTTTCCCATTTGCATAAGTATGCTATTAAATTCCCATAAAGTAATTTTATAATAATATTTGCTAATTTATCATTCATATCTGTAAGTTGATAAGATTTCAAATAATACATGAAAACATCTTTTCCTTTCTGCACTAAAACCACATGGAATCAGTTTCTTAATTTGGATTTACATTTTCTTACAGACATATTTAATAGATTTATTCAAATATATAGCATAAAAACACTGGAATTAAGTTCTATCCTAATTATTAGGCATAAATATTCCAAAGTCTCATGCTTCAATAAATATTGCATAACATAAAAATGTGTCTGTCCCTAATTAAAGTATTGTCTTCCCAGTTCTAATGCCCAAATTCTCATTTTAAATACATATACTTGTCAGGAAAAATAAATGAGCTAAGTGATTGTGTCATGACTACATTTCTATAGATATAGACATAGATGATGCATATTTAATCCTACAATTAAGTTATAAATTAAAACATAAAGTCTGTTCTTGAATAAAGACTGATATAAAAGATAAATTCTTCAAATGCATCCATTGAACCCATTCTTATCATAACACAGCCAGATAGCTCAGGTGAGGCTTTAGTACTTAAGAGCTAAATTAAAAACACAACTAAGAAAAAAGAAATCATGCCATACCTGAAAGCTTCAATGATATATGCACTTGCTGGAAGAGTTCCAGGGGTACCTGGTTGCCAGGACAAGGTAACACTATTCTTAGTAACATCAGTGACCTGTGGTTTTGATGGTGGTCCTGGCAGGTCATTTAAATCATAATTTTTACTGATTGTTGCTCCAGATTCTATAGAAGACAGCAGAAAAAACTTTGTTCCTGATCAGTCATGTTGACGTTGATGCTTACAAGAAGAAAACAGTCTACTAAAGAAGTTGGCTTAGATGGTGAACAATTCATCTTCATTAATCAGTAGCATCTATGTAAGTGAATATCTGCTTTTCTTACACATTAGTAAATGCAAACACTACTTTCACACATGATCACTAGAATTGCCTGCACTTAAGAGGATGTAAAATAACAAAAGTTTTCAAGAACAAATGTACTAAATTTCACAAATGTAATGCTGAGTGTGAACTGGTAGAGGGATTAAAAAGTGGTATTAAATGTAAAGACTTAGATTTACATTCAATCAATTAAAATTTTGATTGTCCACTACCTTGTTATTTAATAATGAACCATCATTATGAGGCTCAAGATTTCTGCTGCTAAGATGGTTCACAAAGAGCTCACCTGTCACATCCAGCACTGCACTCCAGGAAGTCTCCCCACTTGAACTTGTAGCCACACAAGTGTAAGTGCCAGTGTCAGAAATCTAGCATGCATGGAAGGAGAGAATTCAACTGTAATCAATGTGCAGAATAATTACTCAATCTCAACCAGGCAATATTTGATTTTTTTTAAGTGAGGGATACCATTTGCCCATCTAAATAATGCATTAATTTTATATACATATGAAATATTAAAATAAATTCATACAATGTTATTCATAGCATTGATTTAAAAGTTTTCAAAATTATATTTCTACAATTAAATGTTATTGGATAAATTCTATTTGTCTTTTTTCTTTTTTGATAATACTAATCTCTTAATTCCATTTTATAATGGAGCCTATCGTGCCAGAGTTAAATATAGACAACTCAGGACAGAATTCATTCATAATATCATAAGGCTACACACCATCAGTAATGAAACGCTGTCTTTTCTGTTTCAAATAAACTATTTACTCTGGTATAAATTAGCAATGAGATAATAGGAGGCGATTCTTTCTTTTCAAAAACATGAAAAAAAAGAAGAAAAATATTTTTTAAGAAGAAAAAAATTTTTTTTGTCTTTTAACGAGTTCAGTACTCACTTCTATGTTAATTGTAGCAGTGCAGAATCCAGTAAAAGAAAGTTGTGTCATACATAAATCAACAAATACTGACTATGGAGTTAGTGTTGAAAGGGATCATAAAAATAATCTAACAAAATTCAAACATTTTTAAAAACTGACATTTCATTGAGGACTGAAAATGTTTTCATTACTCATTGAAGAATAGCCAACGACATTTAAAAAGAGGTCTCTTTTACAAATCTAAGCCAAAAGATTCTCTAATTATACTTTGAAAATAGCCCCAAGGTCAATAAAAGATAAAGTCCTCACTGTGGTTGAGCCTTGTGGGCTTCCATGGTAAACAACACTCACTTATGTTGGGTTTAGGAGTATAGGAAAAGTGAGACTGGGAAGAGAGGCTCATGAAAAAAGAGAATAAAGCAAGGCAGAAGACATAGATTAAAACTGTGATGAACTTGAACTTAATTGTTGGTGAAATGTGGGAGTTCATAGAATATTACATCTGTCAGGTACAAAATGTAAGTGTATTGATGATTCCAGCTTTCAGAATGGATTCTCAGGTATATCATTAGTGCATGGATGTTACTGCCATTTCACTGTTTTAATTGATTTTAAATGTCATTATGTATTTTAACTTAAGTTTCAAATTGCTCTGGCACGTCATTCTTCGCCATATTATCTCCGTACAATTGTCTTCTATTACACAGAGGGATGATGGGAATAGCCATTGTAGAATGAGCCATTCTTTCAAATGTGGCTGGGTGCACATTATAGTCATTAGAAATCTTTGCATTTAAGAAGCATCACTCACAAACTAAATATAATGAGCCCAGGTTGGATTTTAATGGGATGTTCATTTGAATATGGACTGTGAAAGAGTAAAAAAATTTGCATTTTATTATAGCTGTTGAACTAAAAGGTAGCACTTGTTATTCTGTGCAAATGCTAAAAGAAGAGTATGTAGGTGATGCTTCTTAACTGTAGCTCCTTGTCATTGTGTGGAGATACAACCTGACATTAGCTGTGGTAGGTAGGTTTTAATGAGTACTGGAATATTCTACATCTCAAAAGATACAGATTCAGTTACCAATTAGCTGGACTATGAGAACACTGTATTCATCATGTTATTTTTTTCCCTTGCTTTACATACTGAAAAGGAAATAGTGAGACACAAAAGAACATGACCTATAGAAAACCTTTCTTGATTATACAAGTGAAACACTGAAAAGCCCATTTGAATCCCCCTGGAAAGAGACTCATTTTACAGAAAAAGAATGATGTGCTTACTTTGGTGTTTATCAAATGCCTGAATATCATTGATAAATCTCACTATTTTATCACCATAATCATCAGCTCTTCACTCTCTTTTATTGTTTTAACTTTAAATAATAACTTTTCTGGACAGGAATGCTTCACTTCTCTTCCAACCTTATCCATTCATCTCACTAATTGCTTTAAGAGGTGCATATTCTAGCTCACTCCATCCTACTTTTCTCCTTGTGCAGTTGGCTACAGACAAGCCCCTAGGAGCTGGCATCTTAGAGACTACTCAGAAGCCTGTCAGGGCTCCGAGTTTGACATCATCAAGCACGCACCTTTAATTGCTTCTTTCAAACACTCCTAGGAATCTTGACTCTTCGAGAATACCCTTTAATTCAACAATACAGCAAAAATGCATTAACCTCCATGGCCCTAGGCTGCCTTGGGCCCAGAGAGAGAGGTTAAAGTGTTTACCCAAGGAGAGCTGGCATTAATTTTTTAATAACTTCCATTTTGTTCAAAGAAAGTTAATAACTAATTTACAATCAATGAAAAGACAGATTAAAAATAGTCTGTATTAATTTATTTTCCTTTAACTGAACTTGGCGGTAGTTTTGTTACTTAAGAGCAATAATTAATGCCTATGTCTCAAAATCATATATGTGTTTGTGGTGTGTGTGTGTGTGTGAGTGTGTGTGTGTGTGTTTATATACACATATACACACAGAATTAAAAATGTATGCATGTATTTGCTAAAAAAGTAGGATCATTCTTCTATTTGGTGTGTGTGTGTGTGTGTGTGTGTTACAGTGATAAATAACCAGATAAACATATAAGTGTAGATAACATTTCCCATCATATGGGAAGAATCCTTTTCATTTGAAAACATTTATAGTAGAACATTTTTTACTTTCCTCCTTAGCTTCTGAATGTGAAAATTGAGCAATATGGTTTTGCTTGTTTGTTTTTTCTTTATCTTTCATTCCCAATTTTTACCTGGATACCAATTTCTACTAACTGTTCTTCCACTGAAAAAAATGAATTGTTTTCAATCCATTTTTCCTCATGCATTATATTATACCCAGTATCTTAATTCTGGCTCTCAATCCCAGTGCTATGAATATATTCTCCAGCTTTAGTGTAACCCTTGCAACATGGGACAAGTAGGGTAGAGTAACTATTCTTGGTTGAATGAGTTGAATATACTGGCAGAGAACAGATATCCCTCATGATGACATTCACCTGGATTTCACAATTTCCATATTCCACCTGAGTAAATTGAAAACCATTGGTTTCAAGGTTTTAAGATATCTTGTTTGTGACTTTCGTACATAGGATTGCAATGCCTATTTTGGTAGGAGATGATCTTCCTTGTTGACATAGAGGAAGGAGGCAGGCATATTGAGAAAGTCCACATAGCAATGTACTAAAGGCAGCCTCCCACCAGCAGCAAGTAAACTGAGGTTGTTAATCCAGTAGACCCAAATAACTCTAGGCTACCAGCAGTCATGGTGATTGGGAGAAAATCTATCCTGTCAATCTTCATATGAGCCCTCATCTCCTCTAACTGGCACCTCCAATTATACCTCTAAAACAAGTGGCCCTATTAAGTCATGGTCATGCTTCTAACTCACATAAGCTGTGAGATATTAATAATTGTTTTACTTCCAATACTGTTACATTGTAACAGATAGTTAAAAAATATTCAGAAGCACACATATTATTTTGAGTTGCTCCTGAAGAAGTACCAACTTGCTAAATTTCCAGAAATGGTTGCATAAATTTCAGTTAAAAGATCACCAACAATTTGTTCTCATCCTGGGGTTTAAATGAAAAACCCCACAGCAACATCCCCTAAAACCTAAGGGTTTCCTCTAACTAGCCAAACCTGCCTTTCTTCCATTCAGTCTAATCCCTTTATTTTTTCTACACAATTTTTTGACCAAGCCAATTTATCTACATCTTGCTATGATATCCCTTTCATCAGTGATAGTAAAATCAGAAGCATCTGTCACTTTTTCAAAGGATTTTATATATTCCACTACTATACTTAAATCATTAAACTATGATTTATAGTTTCAATGATTACATACATAGCAGATGTGATACAAGAGTAAAAAGATTCTAGGTCTGTTTTGAATTTATGAGTGACATAAGGAAAAGACCCTTGCTCTAATTTCAACTAAGAATTTTCACAGTAAGAAGTAACATGCACAGAAGGCATGCTAAGATGTAAGATTTTAAGTTCACCACAAAATATTTCCCTATAACAGTTCTTATGTTAAGACAAGGACTCAAATGCAAACCAAATATTGCTTACCCGTAAATTCTTAATTTGCAGTGTTCCTTGGTCTTGTATAGATGCTCTTGAATCTCTACCCAGAAAAGTAAATCCCTCCTTTAACCAGCTAATGACTGGAAGAGGATCACCAGTGGCTTTACATTTTAGTAATGCTGTACCATCGACTGCTAGTGTTTGGTTTACTGGGCCTTGTAAGATTATGGGCGGAGGTCTATCTGTCAAAACTGAAGAATAAAGATATATTTAGTATATTTTAACTCCTATGCATTCAATAGTCTTAAAGTACTGATATTGTAAGTAATGTGAAAACCCCAAAGCCAAACATATTACTTAGAACTTACTTTGTGTATTTATTCAATACCCATCATATATATCATATATGTACATATTAATCCAATACATAAGATATATATTTAAAAATCCTCCCAGAAAATAAAAAAAGAGTAGTGGATTTAAATTATTGTTTAGCAACTGTGATGAAAAAAATAGTTTCTTTTCTCCAAAAAGTTATTTTTTATTACCAGGTAAATAATTAGAAAAGTAATTTTGCTTCAGGTTCTCAATTCCTTTGTCCATCCATGTTTGTAAACACCAATTTTCATGACTCTGTCTCCATCTGTATGCATCATATTTACACTAGAGTTCACAGATTTCAGTAAGAAATCATGAAAATTACCAGGCCTCTACGAACCACCCATGAAAAAACCAATCAATTTTAATTTAAATTAGAACTTAGGATAATAGGTCCCCTGCAAGTCAAGACACTGTAGACCCCAATGAACCTGAATTTATTATATTGATAATAAAAAAAAAAACTATGATAAACCATAGAACAATTACTTGGTCATACACCAAAATTAGAACTACTTATTTCACTGATTGTTTTTATCACATTCTTCATTTTAGAAACAAATGAAGAAGCTTAAGAGAATGTGGGAGCCCAATATTACAATAATTCTGAGACATCTGGCAATAATTTGGCAAATAGAAATTTAGGCTAATGGTTTTACATAAATCGTTTATGAGCCAAAACTAGATCAATGGATTTTTTTTTTAATATGGGGAGAAAAATAGGCCTTCAGAGTCTAACTTATTTATCAAATTATAAATGTTACGTCTTTGCTTCAAATTAAGTTCTTCATAAGAATTCCAGTAATGTCTTTTAATCTGCTTTTATTGTCATATCTCTGAAATCATTAGATGTAGCCAAAGGTCATCTAATTAGTCCCCTCTGCCTTTTTCTTCTTCTTTTTTTAATGCCTAAATGAGTGGTTCATTGTCTTTTGAATGACTTCGATCAATAAGTGAATTGAAAATCTCCTGGCCAGAGGAATTCTCACTTTCAAGGATGTTATGGGTGAAAGATGACCACAAGGTTTCCATGACATTAAGGTCAAAGTTTAAATGAACATTTAGGGTTTCCAGTGATCTGTGAACAACTCCATGGTCTTCTCTAACTATGCATTATAAATCCTCAATAAACCATTCATGTAAGATTATGGTTTGACATTTATAGTCAGCATAAGACAGAAATGCATTTCAGTTCCCAGTCCTTATAGATTCTATTCATCCCACCCATAGAGTTTTCTTTACAAGATTTTTTTTTAACTTTATGAAATAAGGGTAAAGGAAAAAAGTGAATAACCATGAGAAGATCTTTTAGAGGTCTATTTTGAAACTTAAGTATTTGGGAACATCTTAGCTCAATCCATAATCGGTACAATTGTAACTCAGCATGACATATTTCATCACTATTAGCAAGAGTATGTGAATACTATATGAATGTTTAAATTAAAAATATGCTCAGTAATTGAGTTTAATGTCAAAGATATAACAAAAACATGGGTACAGATGGAATAAGCACTTGTTTCTCTGAATATGATATATATTTTTCATTTTAACAATTTCAATTGACTCAAAATTGCCCTAGATCTTATCAAAAAGTACACCTAAAATGAAAATGATGGCTTACATGTGATTAAATCACTAACTAATCTGAAAAACCTAAAGTATGACTAGAAGCTGAAGTCATCAGCCAAGGACACAACTTCATATTTAGAGATAGTTATTCATAATAACTTTGACTTTTTGATTGCTTAAGTAAAAATCAATGTAGGAATTAATATTCAAAACAGTTGTAACAAAATGCTCAGAACCATCTCAGTCAAACTGAAATTTTAAACTTGATCATGACCTTTTAAATTTTGACCTAGAATAGATATTCTAGCTGTGAGATATGATCAACTAACACAAGTTTTCAATTCATTGTATCAAAAATAATTCTCAATATCTACCTGTCTCATGAACCCTATCAGTTGAAACCACTACCTCTTCTAATTCACTCATTTTGTTTTCTACATATATGGTCTGCTTTTTCATAGCAAATTATTCATTTAAGCTCAGTCTCTCTCATGTAAACTGCCACAAGTAGCTAGATTATAGTAGATATTTTAAGCATTATGTTTGAAATATTTTATAGCAATTTAGAATAAATCTTAGGTTTAGGCCCAGATATCTTGTTTTCCAATATAAATACCTAGAAATTTTTACTGATAGAATATATGAGTACTTTTAAAATATTCATAATTATCTTTCACTCTTTTTAAATAAACAAAGAGGTAGAAACCATCAAAGAGGATTTAAGGAAGCACTGCCTATTTAAGGAAGGATTTCTCATCACTGTTACCCTTGAACCTGACTTCTTCTTTCAGCTCCATGGCCATAAATCTCCAGAGCATCAGCAGGTGCAGACATTAATGACTCAATGTCTTCACATCCAGTGTTTGTCTGTCCTATTTATTCCCATTCCTGACATGGTGCTGAATCAGGCCATACCATGGACAGATATTAAAAAATACTGCCTTTCTATTAATTTTAAATGACCTTTTAATCTACATGTAAATTCAAATTGTATGAAAGCACATTGAAATTTAACCAGCAGAGAATTAGAGAAACCACAGACGAAAAGTCTTATATCTCAGAAACCAGCATGAGAAGGGAAAACAAACACAAAAAGCTCACCAATATAAGACACAATAGAAAGTTTTAAGGCATGGAAGGATAGGGAATAAATTCATGCTCAGAGGCTCAAAAATTGCTAGAACTTCCTAACTGTCAATTGTGATGAATCTTGGGGAAAGATCAGAACCTTTTCAACTTTCACTCTGAACGTAAGGATCTCAGTTAAGATTCAAAGTATATATGTGCAAGTAAAAAATAATAATTTTAGCATTCATCAGTGCCAGTGCTTCCAAAAGTATTTAATTAATTTAACTTAGTGAATGTATAATTAAAGGCAGAGGAATGTCATAATGTGATTAGCTAACTAAAAAACTAATTCTCTGTTTCACTGATAATATTAAAGATGATATCTCTTATTCTGCAGTAAAATATAAAATTATTAACATCTTTGAGAAGCAGTCATGTCAACATAAGACTAACTAAAAGTATTCAGATTACACGTGTAAACACAATAATTTTGATGTCATTTCTTTAAAATTACTTTAAATTTAAAATTAAAATTTCTTTCAAATCACTGTTTTTAAGATTAAAATGGGCTGCCTTTGGGAAAATAAATGGCATTAAATGAAATACTGGCAGGTAAATTAAAAACTGTTAAAATGTGTTACTTTACCTAGATTTAAATTTAGAGGATAAACATTGATCTAAACCATTTAACAAATAGAAAAACCCCACATTAATGTGTATCTTGAAATAAAATTCATATATTTTATGAGACGAATCCAAAAACAATATCGCACCATCGGTAACCTCCAGTTGAGCTTTTGCTAAAATGCTTCCTGCCACAGTCAAGGCCTGGCAGATGTAGTAACCCGCATCTGAGCGCTGAATGTTGGTAATGGTGAGGTCTCCAGTTGGTGACACTGAACATCTACTGTTGGGCTGCTGGGGTTGGTTTGGGAAAAGTAGGTTCTGTAGAAGCAAACACAATCTTATCAATATTTTTTTTTAGCATTTACAAGGAAAATTGCATTAACAACAAATATTTTAGTTATGAAAAATATGATTGGTAGAAAGATGTATAGATTTAAACAAAAAAGTTTCCAAAATAATTATAGGTCTGGTAGTGGGAAAACTAACTGGGAAAGTTTCCAATCATGGTGTATGCTCTATGACCTCAACATACTTCAGTTGAAGGAATAATCACCCGCATTTTTAAAGAGCTGGATCTGTCTTTAATTTTTAAGTTTTGATTGGCATATAATGCTTGTACATTTTAATGGGCTACAGTATAAAAATTCAACACATATATACAGCATGTAATGATAAAATCAGGGTAACATTAAGGTTTCTTGATCTCAGCCATTTACTCTCTCTAAAATAAGTTTTCCTCATCTATAAAATGGGCAGCATAATTCTCATATGATTTAACTCCTATACAAGGTAAGGATCGAGAGAGTAACAATAAATGTGTAGGTGTTTTTTAAACTTACAAGAAACAAAGAATGTAAAATATAATTGCAATTGTTACTGATAATTTTTAATATTTTAGGACAACAAATTCAATTTTAACATTTTTCAAAATGTGTGTGTCTTTGACTGACAGAAAAAGCTGAGTGTATTGCTATAATGCACTGCAAATCATGACAACATCCCAAAGAGCTATGGACAAATCCTAATCTAAGCATGATAAAATCAATAGCTGAAAATAAAAGGATGTAGAATAATTATGGAAGTTAGAATGTTCTACCAAACAATTTTGAAGTATTATTTTTAAAAACATTTTACTATATATCACAAAAAGCCTATCATATATCTCATATAGCCTAATCATAAATGTTGAAAGTTTTTATATGAGTGCAGTAACATCAATTTAGATGACCTATGTCACTTTACTGTTGTTCAATTAAGAAAAACATTTGGATATAATAAATCATATTGAGGTATGTTTCCAAGTTGGATTATAAATAAGAACATATCAATTTTTATGTTCTATTTACTTACAAAAAAGAACATTATAACCCTCGGGGATCTGTTTCTCAATGTAGTAATTAATTTTCCAGGTTTGTAATTAAACAGTTTCAATAAGTTGCAATCAGGAGGTAATAACATTCAATTAAAGGCACAAGACACATTTTCACCTTAAAATGTTTTTACCCTTGAAGTACTACCAATGGAAGAGGATAAAATAGGGTATTAACACTTTTCAATTACGCTAAATGACTTTAATCCTGCAAATGATGTCCTACTTTAATTAGAAGCTCTTCTCTTTATTGCAACATGATGGATGTCCACTTTATTAGATTCAAGTGTGACACTATAAGCCCACTTTACATAAACATTACCATGTTATTAAACTCCTAAAAGAAGAGATGTTTGCTAGCCTGTCAGGGATATGATTTCAAAAAAACTGTTTCCCTCTCCTAAAATTTGTATTACTATCTAAGTCTAGATATTTTCATGCATATGAAACATAATTTGAGAACAAATTAAATCTCATGTGGAATCCAAATATATTACAGAAATAAACCATCCAAAAGAGAAGGGTCTAAATTTAAAGGCACTTGAAAATGATACAATAACTCAAAATGTGCACTTTCTTACAATTAGCCATTTGAATACTAATTTACATAGCACCAATCCATCAGATGGGCTAATTCTCTCTGGGATCTTTTCCTCTATGATATAATATCAGTCCACCTTCTAAATGATCCATTGACATGGAAAATGGCATTTGATCATCTTTATTCCCTGCTTGTATGACATGGCCAAAAGAAAATGGATTATAAGCAAAACCAAGGAACTCCATAGAGCTCTGCTTGCCTTGAAGTGTCTGAGAATCCTATTAGCACTAATTGGCATTATCAGCACATATTGAGGAATATGGACCATTAAGTCCAAGCACTTCACTCTTTCTACTGATGGATAGTCATAGATCACCATAGAAATTGGATACTAGAGACAGTAAGACCAATTTATTTTTCCTAATATCCTAATTCATGATTTGAAAATTTACAGTTTGCTCAAGCACTTCTCTTTACTCTCTCTCCCTCTGTGCTTCCCTCCCTCCTCCCAATCTCTAGATCCCTGATGGGAGCAGATTGGTAAGAAGAAGGTAACTAGACCTATGATAATAAACAAGCCAAAGAAGCTAAGTAGAAATTTTGTGGCATCCTTAGCTATAGTATATATGGATTTACATGCTACTTTGTCAAATAGGAAAAGGAATACTATAATGCTTTTGATAACTATTTTCATAACCATTAAAAACAATGTTTAATACCATATGTGAATTAGACTACAGGAAAAAAAACATTTTGTATCTAACTTGGAGCTATTTTGAGGGATATTATGTACACATGAAATAATCTTACAAAAATAAATCATATATATATATATATATATATATATATATATATATATATATATATATCAGGAAACATTATGAGATTTCACTCAAAACATGACTTAAAGTATGAATTTGCAATAATCAAATTGCTTTACATCATTATGTTTGCTATCAGTGACAAAATAGCAATTTGTGTTATCTTCATAACATGTAAATTCCTTTTACATTTATACTTATTCATGAAATCTTCATAACTCATGGGAGGTAAGATGTATAGCCCCAAATTTCAGATTAGTATAAAAACTAGCTTTAGTAAAGTTAAATAGCACTTACAAATACTGTGCAACAAAAAAGGAGAAAAATGGCTTTAAGGCCTCTCCTTTAAAGGTTGTGAGTGTGTATGCATGTGTGTGTTTAACTATCATATCATGTTTTTTCATACTCCTGGAATGTTTGGGATAAATTCACGTGAGAGAAACTGAAAAGAATAGTCAAGGAAATCTACAAAGAGAAATACATTTTATAGCTGTTAAATGATTTAAAAAAAATGGGAGTTGAAGTCTGATAATTCTGATATGGGATAAGGCAGTGGGCATGACTCTCCTTTCTTCATTGCCTTTACATCCCTGACTCAGAAGGGAAGTGACAAGGAGTGTTGAGAAAGTAAGAATGACCAGGTGTCCATTCAGAGATTAAAACTGCTAGTTTGGGGGTGGTTCAGGAATTGCAGAGGAACCCCTGCAAATTAGAAAGCATGGCTGAGCAGGGCTTCCTAGAGGCTCTCCAGAAAGACAGACATATATGAGTTCTAATCAATAGGTTCTCTTAATGTAGCTAAAAACATTCCCTACCGCTGGCAAAGTTTTCAGATTTCCTATGACTTATAATAATATTTTCAATTAATCCCTGAGAAATTTTTTCAGAACCTGGACTAGTATCAGAATGTGCTGGGGAAGAGTACCACAAGAACTACATTTCTTGTCTGGATGGTTTTAGAGAATCTAGCACAAAATAATTCAAGATCTCTCAGGAATGCACAAATTTTTATGCAAAGATCACAATTTCAGATCTAATTTAAGCTGAAAGTTCCATTCATTGCCTCAGAAGGTATAGGCTAAACACTCTCTGAATTTGGACCAAGTGCTAAATTATAAAAGTAATGTATCCAGTTGGCTTTGGGAGAGACATTGAGAGGCCATCATGTCCAGAAAGAGCAAAGCAAAGACAAGGCAGGTATTGGCTCTTTGTGTTATATATTATTTCTGTTTAACCCTACTGTGAAGAAATCCAGAAGGGAAAATGAAAGAAAATATTTCTTCAACTCTTAAGTGGAAACAGGGTTAAATTAATAATTTTTTAAAGTCATTTATATTTTCTATCTAGGAGTGGAGTGATATTGGATCTATGCCAATAAATGCTAGAAATATTTTTTGATCATCTTCCATGAGTGAGGAACTATTCTCAGCTCATTGTATGTCCCAACTCACTTACACAGACTAATCCTGTGCAAGAAAGCAAAATCACCTTAACCTGCAGAGATTTAAATATTTACAGAGGTTTGGTTGGATTTTTAAAATAAGGTTGCTACACTCTGTTTCTTGCAAAATGCAGGATTTTTAAAGATTACCACTAGCAAATAAAAAGTGCTAGAACATCTGTCTTTCACTTATTTTAGAATCATTTGCCTTTCTTTTAGCAATAAAATAAGTTCAGCATCTGATAGCAATGGAGGCAAGGCAAGCTTCAGGGAGTACCAAAGTCAGCAAAGTTCAGAGACTTCAGAAAAGCAGTCAAGCCTCACACTCACCTGGCTGCCTTCTTTCTGCCAAAACACAGCTGGCTGGGGGTTTCCTTTAGTTTCACAGGGAAATGTTGCAGTTCGACCTTGAGCAACAATCTGATCTCTTGGCCTAACCACAAACTGTGGAGGAGCTATAATTTAAAAGGAAAGAAAATGTGTAAATATCAACCATTGTCAAAGAAAAAGATATAAAAGAGAAAATCTGGCTCTGGGTGGATTGCTCAGTGCCAAAGAGGCTACATTTTTTTTTTTTTTTTTACTTACTTGTATGCATTTCTTAAAACACTAAGGGATTGGGGAAATAATGTGAGAAAACTTATTAGCAGATCTATTTTAAATATTGTCCATTATATTATATCCCTGTGTCCCACCTACTTATATGTGAAAATAGATCCCTTATGATTCTAACATTTTTAGAAAAATGATTTGGTTATGTTTTTTAATAAGAAAAACATGGAAAGGAATCACTCCTTTACACAATTATCTCCTCCTTTAAAATCCATCTCCTGGTACACACTCATTTTATTATAATATTTGTAAGATATTGAATGAGGCAATGGGATGTCAGAAGGCATAAAATATGATCCATATTATGAAAATTCTTATATTCTGGAATTCAAGATTTGAAGATTAAAGACATTGAATTATTTAAGGGATGGAAGTTACATATTTGAAATAACAAACAATATAAATAAATGTATCATATTAGTTTATTCTATTTAATTAATTTCATTTGGACAGACAGGCAATAGTCAGGCAATTCTTATGTTCTCTTACTTGGCAGTAAAGTCACACAGGGTAAAGCTTTATATGATAGTTGTCAAGGAACTCAAAGTTGAATAGAGACATTTTTTTAAAACATGATGATTTTGATAACAGTAAACACAAAACCTATACATCTAAGACAATGGTAAGTGCAGTGGTAGAGGTCCTCTTGGAGCTCTGAGGGGAACTCTTCAGTTATAGTGTCCACAGTCAGTGTGACCAGACTTCAGGAGGGAGGGATCCCTTTGTGCTTGAGTGGCTGTGAAAGGCTGTGTGTGGGAAAGGGAAGTTGTGGGAACTCTGGGGCAAGGGATGCATTTGGATAAGGGGTTGATGAACACATTCCAAGCATAGGCATCTCCCGGGCAAAGTAGAAGCAGCAAGAACATCTCCAGCCTAACAGTGTACAATCTGGCAGGAAAGGGAGGTCGGAGTTATATAAATATCATGGCAACAACGGAAGACTTTAGAAGCCATACTCACTTTATTCTGTCTCTTTCTGAGTGGGGTAGTGATGATAAAAGTGGTTTGGGAAGCTTTAACCCTTCAATGAACTTAGATTGGATGAGGAAGAATGAATGGGGTGAGTGACATTTAGTCACTAAAGCATGGAGTCTGGCTAACAAGCTAATAAAATGGTATTGTGAAGATAATAAGGAAAACAAATGAGTAACTCTAACAGTAAAGAAAAGAGAGGGATGAGGGGCTGGGTACAGTGATGCACGCCTATAATCCCACGACTCATGATGCTGAGGCACAAGTATCGAAAGTTCAAGACCACTCTGGGCAACTTAATTAGACCCTGTTTTAAAATAAAATTAAAAAACAGGGCTGGGGATGTATCTCAGGGATAGAGCACCTCAGGGTTTAATCTATCTATCTATACCTATATCTATAGATAGATAGATAGATATAATACAAAAAGAAAGAAAGAAAGAGGGCAGGGATGGGGTAAAAATGCTAAGACAGAACAATTTAGATTGGAACCTAATGATAAAGAGAGACAAGGGAGAAAAAACAAGAGAAAGTATAGCTAGAAATTTTCCCAAGGACATCTTCAGAACCAAACCCATATCAGTTGTAAACACCATGTGTATTCCATGACTTTTCTGATCATCTGTTTATATTTTAACTAGTTGCTTATGCTAGAAAACTAAGACCAAGCAAATACTTTCAAATCAGTTTCAAATTCTAAGTTTTAGAATCTGGTATACATCAGCTAAAAGGTGAGCTCTAAAGAACTCTGACAATCAGCAACATCCAATAAAAGACTTCACCTGGATTTCTTTCACGTTTTTCAAGTGCATAAGTGCAAATCCAAGAACAGAATAAACACATGGTGCCCCAAACCTAAAACCAATCATTTATCCTAACAAAAATGCTATCACTGTGAAAGCAGCGGTATTTTTCTCAAAAAGAATTCAGTGAGATTTGTATTGACTTATTTCTTTTTAGGTGTTCTATTTTCCTGGCTCCTAATTCAAGATATCCAACACATACCCCAAGGACAGAAGGGATAAATCTACTAAGTGAAATTCTTTTCTATAACTAAAGATAACGGAAGACTCATTCTAACAGTACAGAGAACCCGGATTTATGGCTCTATTTGGACAGAGTGTGGTTTATGTTGCCTGGCATGCTCAGAAGATTACAGGCCTCTCACAATCTACTTGTTATTTCTACACACTTCTCCTGAATCAGCAGATACATTGATTTTTGTTCCATGTTTGCTAATAGAAATGATAGTTTAAATCAATGTTACAAAATTACTTTAGGAAAAACTTTTAAAGTACAGCAGTATTCATTTTTCAGCAGAAATGTGAAACCACTGGATATTTTTGCCACAGAAGATTAGTTGGTCTTCATCATATGTAATATGGTATGGGATTTTTCTAGAAAAAATGTTATGAAATATTTAAGAATCAGTGTATAGTTGTATGAAATCCTATGAAAGAAAAGTAATAATGCCAATGTGGACATTAGCTTTTTGAGAAGTATTGAGGAATTTAGCTTGTATGTCATCTTCAAAAATTAAAAACCCAATTCAGTCAAAATCAGTTATTTGACACTCTTTAATAAAAGTTGCCTATTCAGCTTATTAGTTCATTTGCACAGCTTTGGGTGAGAAATAATTTAAATTGGCCTATATAACTAGTTAGTGAGACCTGAGAACCTGGGTACTTACACAATCCTCCTTTATATATATATTTTTTAAAAAAAGCAATAACAGATTGAAATCATCAAATGAAACATAAATGGAAGCAATGAAAACATAGTTTTAAGCATTTTATTCTCTGTCATCTACCTATGTCAGTAAAAGCACTATCTGTAATTTAGATATAGCTATAGACTTCCTTGAATTTGATACTTAAATGTTTGAAAATGTGTTTTAGATGAGTGTTTTTGTAAAACATTTTTGAAATCCTCATCCTATAGTTTTATCACAGCTGCTAAAATATAGTCCCCCCCAAAAAAAAGGATTCAGAATTGACCATATCTATGCATACATTTTCCTGAGAAGCTAGAGTTCATCCATTTATTCATTCAAAATGTACTGATTGAATACAAATTCTAAGACATTCTGCTTGGTTCAGGGCATGGGAAGCCAAATATTACATGGCACTTGAGTGGGGGTGTAGCTCACTGTTAGAGCTCTTATGTAGCATGCACAGGCTCTGGATTCCATCTCCAGTACAGCCAAAATAAGAGAGAGAGAGAGAGAGAGAGAGAGAGAGAGAGAGAGAGAGAGAGGTATTGGGAGGTGCTCTCGTCCTACTTGTCCTATGGCAGAGATTTCTCAGGGAACAACACATCATGACACAATCTGTACAATAATAGAAAATGCAAGAGATGGCTATATTTGAGCTGTTATTTGAAGCACAGGTAAGAGATCACTAGATGAAGAGAATTAAGGTCACAGAACAAAGGCACCGAACATAAGGCAAAGACCTGTGGAACTGGATTTGGTACAGGAAGATAAAGAGTTTTGAAAGTAGAAGAAACCTGGTGTACAGAGCTGATATAGATAAGATCAGATAATTTATACAAAGGAGTTTAAAATTGTGTCCTGAAAGCTATTAAGATCTTTTCAAAGATGATTTTGCAAAATAGATATCAGATACATGGTTTTAAAAAGAATGCTCTGGAAGCAATGTAGATGGTGATTGGAGATGATGATTAGAAAGACAGAGACAAAGGCTGGAACACCTTGGCAAGTTGGGACAGAAAATCCAGTGAGAATTGCTATGAGTAGCACCTAAAGAAAACATTTCATCAGAACTCCTACACAAAAATGAAGTGCTGTAATATCACAACATAATATTTACCACTCATTATATCATTTTGAAAGACCAGGAAATCATAATTTCTTGAAATTTTTCCAGTTTTATATTTTTTAAAGACCACTAACCAAAAGCCATCAATCCTAAAAACTCTCTTTTCCCTGTGTTATCTATTTATATTATACTTTTATTCTAAGTTATTATAAATATGCTCTATTTCTAATGTATGCAATTATTTCATGTCAATAGCCTCATGGGTCTCAATAGAACCAGAATTGTTAGGTGTAAATTTTTTTTAAAAGAAAACTAAAAATGTTGAATCATTTAGCAAAACAATCTAAAAAGCTTTTGAGTCTCTGAAAATACATGTCCTTTTGTCACCCAAAGTCAGGCCAACAAATAAAATTGCAAGGATCAGTTTTACTTTTGTAGATTCTCTTTCTCTGCCCAAGATCTATATTGCAATCTTCTGTGAAGGCATATCAGCTCAAGGAATTTACTTTTGAGGTTTTAAAATGAAAAACAGCATCAATTATTCTTCTGATGACACTCCACAGTTTCCGCATCTCTGCCAGGTGGCAGTGAGAATGGTTTGAAAAGAGAGTACTTGGCTGATGGCACCAAAGGGAGGGAGTAGACAGGGATGGCGTTTTATCAACACAGCATGATAGTGGGAAGTGTGCTATACATAAAAGGGATTTTATACAATGGTTCTCATTAAATATGAAAAAAACACAATTAGGTCCTCAAGATGACAATTCAAAACATAATTTAAACCCAATTCGAATTAAGGATATCGAGTTATAAACTCCAAAAGAATATGCTAGTTATAAAAATGGCAATTCTCTGATGTTTGTTAAGACAGATGACTATGAAATACGTATTTATGTCCTCTCTAAAACCTGAAAACATTAGACAAATTTCTTGTAACTATGCTGCAATAACCTACTTGCTTACTATGTCAAGTGATTATACCTTATTGCTTTAGCTATAAGAAGAAATGAGATGGAGCAGAGTGATGCAGTTCAGTATTTAATCAACACATACACATTAAAAAACAATATCTCTATGAGAAAAGTATGTTG